TCACATGATGCAAGAATCTGCTCCCCCTGGGAGGAGGTCATGCGCAAACTCAGACTTAAAGTCTGAGCATGCGCAGTGATCAGTCACCAGAGGCAAGGCAATTGGGACAAGAAGCAGCAGCAACTTGCTCCTGTATTTTCACAGCAGTAAGTTAAAAGATATGTAGTAGTGATGGCCGAAACGGCCAATTTTCTTAATTTTCGATAATGATTGATAATGCACTTTTTCAGGAAATATCAATTATTATTGATACGATAACCACACCTTCATTTTGGGGTGTGTCAAGGGTGTGGCTAATGATTTTAATGATTTTAGCACATATAATTGTACTGGACATGAGAGAAGATCATTTCCTAATCATTTTCATGCTCATAATCTTGGTTCTCTTTTTATTGAAGTAGGCTGAACTAACAACTGGTCAGTTGCTTCTTTCTTGCAGTTCAACAGTGCAATTGCTTATTACGATTAGTTATTTAACCTTAATAAATGAGCGTGGTCAATAGATAGATGAAAATTGCATAAAATTTTCAATAATGATTCAAACTGCGTAAAATATCGTTTATGTTGATAAAAATCGATATATTGCCCATCACTAATTTGTAGCTGCGGTTACTTATGTATTGATAGAGAGAATCAGCTGTGTGTTCAGCTGCTATCCTCAGGGGCTATAGGCTCAGCCTGAAACCAGTGAAGCGTTGCTGTGAAAGGTAAGGAATTTTTCTTTACTCATTGCGGTGGATTGTGTCATTGTAGGGGATTATATGATAACATGGTGACAAACCCCTGATTTTAATGAATGTCTGTACCCCCCCATATCCAAATGAGAAACTAGACAATAAAAAATGATAGCAATCTGTGAGGGATTGGGAAAGAGAAGTGTGAAAGAAAGTTTACAGTGTAGAACACTGCAACTGAGAATTAGAAGACATATGAATATACTCAAAATTTGGATCAAGTGAAATATTCGACTCCTGCCCTTTACGTACTTAATAACCACTGACCACGCCCACCGGATACGTGTCATCACCACACCTTCTTTTTCCAAGTGGCCACATTCATTTTAATTTAAAAAGGCTGCCAGAGAAAATGAAAAAAGCCTAGGTGCTTTGCTTCATGAAAAACCAAATGCAGTAAAGTTCATGGCACCCCTGATTTGATGTAATTGATCCATTTCGACAAGACAGAAGGTACTATGATGAAAAATTTTAATGTGTTTCAGTAGTTTTGCGGATATTGTTATAATGAAACAAGCTTATATATACTGAATTAATCAAACTGGGTATTGTCTAGCATTGTCTCGTATGATTGAGTCAAAACATTCCATAGCTGTCTTCCCGTATCTCTCCCTGTACATAAACTCGTCCAGGTAACTTGGTAGCTGATGCTCGTGACATCCTTTCATTCTTTTAAATTTAGTTTTCACACGATTCCAATAGGACTCTATGCTTTGTGTATGAACACCTGTGGGACTCACAAATTCAACAGAATGGTTGACGGTTTCATGTTGGGAAACATTTGGTAGTGATGACAGGTGCCTGTAGGCTGCCCACTGATCGGAATAAACTGTAGTACCATTACCTACGTGCTGCCTAACAATGGGAAGTAGTGTGGCTGCCGTTCTGTCAGGTACTATTTGCATATACCCTAGTGCAGGTCTATGGCTTACATCCACCATTCCAAATACCCAGACATCGTTGTTAGTGGCACGTCCTCTGTGATTCTGAAAAGGTAAACATTATTATTTTTGATAATCATCCATGACATATATACCTTAGGTTTGTGTTTAAACATTGATTCATCTATCTGGACTACCTTTCCTTGTCCTCCTAAAGTAATTGGCTGTTGCAAAAGGGTTGTTGAACACACTTCTCGT